TCAAAATCTGCCTTGGTGGAATTTGAGCTCATGTTCTAGAACATTACCCTGTGCTGCAGGATTGTTTGTCTACTGACATTAACCCTATGCCACTACCACCAGATTTTTTAAACCATTATTTCACAAATAATATGGCTTTAGAAGAATTTTGGTTTCCCTTTTATATTAGCTGCTAGTCTCTTCATTATAACTTTGTTCACTTATTTATTTTTCTGTTCCCCCTGTCAACATTAATCTTTGTCTCTTTCATCATCCAGTCAACTCTGGATTTATTTGTTCTACATGACCCCTTCATGGGGAACATATTTTGACTGTGAGCAAATTATACCTTCTCTAAATCGAACTCTAAATAGTCCATTCCCATAGAACTTGGCTTTCCCTCAGTTAAATATTCTCACTTTAGATTATATCTTCATCTTTTCCATAGGCAGCATAAACCAATGATCTCTATCCCCTAAATGTTCTTCCATTCATATTTGATCCATTTGGCCCACCTCATTTCCAGAAACCAAGTCTAACATTGGACTGAAAATGTATTGCTAATGAAAATTTTCCTGAACATCCTCTAGAAACTCTTGTTCCTCTGCGTCTTTTGCATTACCACTATATGCCTGTGCTCTATTATTCTTGCCCGGTTTATCAACATCCTTGAAAAGTTAGTCCTCTACATCTTCCCCACAAGCTGATGGCCTATAGACTGCAATACAGCTGCAACATTTTTGTTTCTTACACTGACCAAATAGATTCTGTCCTTGACATATGTCAACAATTTGCTCATAATTTGTTTCTATGCTTCTAGCTGTCTTTCTTCAGATAAGAAGTGGTTAGTTCTGCACATTTGACTGATAACAATACTATGTTATCATTGTTTTTAGGAATCATGAGTCACTATTTGTCTCGTTTAATATTGTTTTGTCTGGTTTAACCACTCGAAAATATAAGCAGATTATCATAGCAATTGAAAGGTACCATTTCCTAAAGTATTTCCTACACATTTTCTTAAAATGCAGATTCCTGATTTGCATCTGCGCAGAAAAGACTGTTGGAATTCACCCAACAGGGAGCAATATTGCATTGATAGACACACCATAGGCTCAAATCTTTTGCTTTTACGTTTGACACTCAGGAATAATTATACAAGATTGGAGGCCCATGGTTTGTTTAGGGACTTGTCTTATCACTTTGAAAATGGTAAAAGTGATTGGCAACCTGTATTAAATCCTTCAAATTTTATTAAATTGTGTCAATAAAAATAAAAGTTGGGAAACCCATAATGTTTTGTGACTGCATTTGATGCCAAGGTATATATCTAATTCAATTATAACATAATACTTAAAGATAAAGACAACTCCAGTATTAGAAAACTTACTTCTTACTATTGCGAGCTAGGATATTTGAGAACATATAAGCCACATAGATGTATGTGAAGCATCACTGTTCTTGATAGCAGGTGGAAACTGTTGAAATTTGTGTTGTCTCAAGTTTTGCAAAAGACATTAGTAGCTGAGTGTAATTTGAAAATTCTGAGCAGTTTTGAGCAGCTCTGTTATGTGTCAGGAGATCAAAGGATACATGGAATTATGTGTGGAACAGATGGAAGGAATTGTGAGAGCAAGTCTAGAAGAAGTGCAACATAATCCTTGAAGTTCAGTTTTTATGTTTTGTGGCAGTATAGTGAATCCTTGCTAGCTCAGTAGGTACAACTTTCATGCTGATCTAAACCTTTACAGACGAGGACTGTCTAATTAGTTGTTCATAGTCAGGGAAATAACAATAATGACCACAAATGCATTTACATAGTGCCTTCAATGCAGAAGTCATCCCAGCACATATTATGGAAGCTTATCAAACAAACCTTCACACCAAGTCGCTTAAGGAGACATTAGGGCAGATGACCAAAACCAGTTCTGAGGAAGGGTCATTGGACCCGAAACATTAACTGTGGTTTCCTTCCACAGATGCTGCCAGACCTGCTGAGCTTTTTTTTTGAGAAATTTATACTTTTGTTTCTGATTTCCAGCATCTTCAGTTCTTTCGGCTTTTATTGACCAAAACTTTGGACAGTGTTAATTATAGGAATGCTTCCTATAAGGAAGAAAATATGACTCCGAAATTGACTAATGGGAAAAACCTGGGTAGAACTGGACTTGGTATAAGTTAGGATACAGGCAGCAAAGTTTTGGAGGGGGAGTTTGTGGATGATGGAAGATGGGAGTACAACCATGAGTGTATTGGAATAGTCAAGTCCAGAAAGCAGCGGCATGAATGAGAATTTCAGGAGCAGATGAAAAATGGAAGGAATGAAATTGAATGATGTTGTAGGGGGACTACTGTTGCTGTGATAACCATAGGATAAGGAGATGAAGCTTGGATAGACTCATCCTGTGTTTGAAAATTGCCCAATAATTCCTATTAGATATTATTTATTTAGAAACATTGAGTGAAGAAAGGTTAAAATTCTGTTGTCATTCATGGGATGCAGTTTTCCCTTTTGTTTTCTAAGGGGTAAGCCAATTCTATGGCGAATAACATACTGCCCCCAGTGGCAAGATAACTCACTGGACTATCCACCAATCAGCTCATTAAAAGTGAACAGGAAAGTGAGGGCAAATATCTTGCCCTGTTACAGACTTTGACACTGATGACCGAGTTCATCATAAGCTGCGAGATAATCAGAGGCTGGCAGCTTCTTAGTCCTAAAGACATCAGTTAAAGCTGACTGGTCGAGGGATTCAACAGTGAGGGAGTAAGTCTGTTTTACTTCTGCTGACTGTGTGGATGTTATTTGGAGAGAAATGTTGGGTGTTTCAGAGGCAAGGACAAGTCAATGGCTTTCAGGATCCACCATCTTGTCCTCACATCCATGCTTCCAGTTGTCCCCAGATCATTTGTGGATTATGATCTTGTGGCATAAACAGAAACCTAACGCATGGAAGAGCAAGGAAGGCTGATGAACATTCCTGGTTGCATGATATTCACAAAAGACAGGAAAGGAAAGGGGAGAGGGAGCACAAGGAGAAAATTGTGAGATAAGAAGGTCCTTCAGGTGCTTCAAGGACTAAATTAGCCAGAGCTAAGGAACGAGGAAGGTGTAATTCCATTGCTTAATGCAATTTATGGACCACCAACTGAAATAACTCCACAGAGGCTGGTATCCCGTCACCAAATCACTCTGCATTTACACATGAAGAGTTCTTCTCTCTCGTACTATTTCATTCAAAGTCAGCCCTCAGTAACAGAAGCTCTGACATTCCTCTTTTTATCTGTCAGCCAGGGGGTCCCTGATTGGACCAGATTAACAGCTTCAATCAGGAATCTCTAATTCTATGAAGTCTAACTGTCTGACCTCATTACCATCACTGCATCCCTCCCCCTCTGAGTCCAAGATCATAGGTTGGCCCTTTTTCTTGAAGGGTCTAGGCCCGAAACGTCAGCCTTCCTGCTCCTCTGATGCTGCTTGACCTGCTGTGTTCATCCAGCTCTACACTTTGTTATATTCTGATTTCTGCCTCTACTTTTAGGGCAAATAGCACTGGGCAGGCCTTGCAGAATTATGGAATTGATTCCTGGTCAACATTCAAAGAGGCCTTGGCTCCTCTGATAATCTCTAGATCTTCCTGGAAGACTTGTAGATATTTAATTAGGACTTCACTCAGGCAGCCATTTTCCAACTGAAAAATGTTGAGCCAATCTAGGTGAATCTTTCTCAACCAATTTCATACCACCAGGCTTGGACCAGAGCCTTTTACGACAATCAGTGGTAACTGAACCAGTTGCCTCTCATGAGAGATTGGAACTGAAGTTGTACCCTTAATCTGTAAAGGTTCCCAGTCAAGCTGAGGTCTTGAGCAAACTTAAAGGTTGGAGTCCCGAGTGAATTTTGTTAAAAACTGGTTCAGCAATCACAGATATGGCTGTATCGGTATCGATCTCCATTAGAACTGGATGACCATTTGACCAACGGCTTTTTCAGTTGGTTCTGATTTGGATGTTGCTAAGTAATTTAGTGATTGGGCAAAACTGTGGTAGATGGAGTAAAGAAAGTGTGAAGTTCTCCATTGTGGACCAAATAAGGATAGATCAAAGTACTTTCTCGATGGTATGAAGTTAAATACATTGAATGTTCAAAGAAACTTGGGGATTCAGATATATAGATCTTTAAAATGTCATGAACAGATGCAGAAAATAATCAAGAAATCCAAAGGAATGCTGGTCTTTATATTTAGAGGACGGAGTTCAAAGATGCAGAAGCTTTGCTTCAGTTATACAGAACCCTGGGTACATCTCACTTGGAGTACTATGGCAGATCTGGGCAGCAAACCTTAGGAAACGTATATTGACCTTAGAGAACATACAATGCAGGCTTACAAGAATGATACCCTGGACTTCAGGGGTTAAAGCTAAGAAGAAGCATTATACAAATTAGGCCTGTTTTCTCCAGAATTTAGAAGGTTAAGGAGTGATCTAATTAAATTCTTCAAGGTAATTAACAGAAAAGATAGGGCAGATAAAGAAAAACTATTTCCACTGGTTGGGGATTCAAGGACTCGGGGCCATTTTCTGAGAACTGGAGCCATACTGTTCAGGAGAGATGTTGGGAAGCACTTCTAAAACAAAAGGTGGTAGATGTTTGGAACTCTCTTCCACAAATGGCAGTGGATGCTGAATCAGACATTAATTTTAAATCTGAGCTGGATAAATGTTTGTTAAGCAAAGCTATTAAGGCATAAGAACCAATGGCAGGTGCATGGAGTTAGACCACAGAACACCTATGATTTCATTGAATGGTAGAACAGGCTCGTGAGGTTGAATGGCCCACTCCTGTTCCTATGTGATCATTGTATACCATGGTTTAGAATGATTGTGGAAAATGACAGTGGTCAATCCAGACTAACTCGTAGAGAGCCAATTTCAAATGGGCAAGAATGGAGCTGGAGCAAAAGGCTGGTGTGGAAAATAAAAATAGCTGAACAAAGGGCTACTTTCAAAGAGGAGATGGTTTAGGCACAGTCAAGGTATATTCCCAAGAAGAGGAAAGATAGAGTAAAACACTTGAGCTCCTAGTATCACAAAGAGGATAGAAATTAAATTACAGAAACAATGTGCTTATAACAGGTGTCTGGTTGTAAATACAGTAGTGAACAAAGATGAATATAGAAGATTTGCAAGGGAATTGGTAAAGTAAATAAAAGAACGAAGAGAGACTATGAAAAAAGACTGATGGTGAATATAAAGGGAAATTCTACTGTCTTTAATCGGCACATCAATCGTAAAAGAATAAAAACTGAAAGAACTATGGAAGCTGTAAATCAGGAACAAAAACAAAGTTGCTGGAAAAGCTCAGCAGGTCTGGCAGCATCT